ATAGGATAGCACACTTAGAACGACCGATACGGGACGACCATCCAGGCACGAGCCACTTAGTGATCGACAATCACCCTGTGGTAGCAGAACATGGTTCGATAGCTTATGTCGCTCTGTCACTGTATCAGGTAGAACCAGGTAGTGTGAGCCTCCGAATCGGGACGGTCCGGTAAAGGAGACGGGAGTGGGCGAGAGCTCCCTTTTGGAGGCATCCTTCTTAAGATGCAGAGACTCTCTAGTAACTCCGCCGCTAGTATGGAGTCGGCGTAACGCTTCAGTTCGCCGGCTTACACTACACTTATACCATGCTAACCTCACTTCTCTTTGGCAATTAATGGAAATTCGTCAACTTGACGACGTCAAGTCATGCGCCGGCGTGCGGTTTGTCGGTCATGTCTTTCAAGATCGGAAGGCCTTTGAAATGGTGGGAAGTCCTTACCTGTGCAGCTAGAGTTTCTGACCTCGTCTGCTTTTCTTGATGGTTTTAACGAATCGTCCTATCTCCTGGAGGATGGTTGGTTGATGCAATCTCCAGAACCGGTTGATGTTCATAGCGATGGGTTCGGAGTTATCAACTAACTTCGGCCTCAAATGATCCTTTTATTGTTGCGTTATTGCGAGATATAAAATAACTAACGAAAGGAAGCATTGTGGAGGTGTATGTAGATATTCGAAGGTATGAAACCGAGTGAGTCGAATCTTAGTTACCAACATACAACTACCCTTTATGCTGACAATCACTCGAGGGATGGTCAAACGTTATTCACACACCGGCAAACGGAGACAGCCACATCCTACATTGTGATACCTAGTCGCAGCTGAAAGTCACCTATAGCGGGACGGAGTTCGACGGCTGCGACGCTAGGCTTAGCGCGGTGCTTCCAGCAACTTGATCGTAGAACTCTATCAGTTGTATAATAATGATAACACATCACATCATATCGTATCATATTGTCTTTTGCAGTTTCTATTTTTATAAGATCACTAATATGGACTCACCGACTACAAGTGTTGTTTCCTCATTTCTCGAGGCTGCTTATCAGGGCGATATGAATCGCATGAAGGAGCTTATGGCCAGCAACTCCGGTCTATCTGTTAATGTTCAAGACTATGATAAGAGAACCCCTCTTCATTTAGCTGCTGCTGGTGGTCACATGGATGCTGTCCAATATTTGTTGGGTGAGGGGGCTCAGCTCAAGACTGATCGCTTCGGTATGCTTCCTATCCACGATGCTGTGGTGAACCATCATAGCGACATCAAGGAGGTGCTCGGTCAACTCGACCTCAAGTGTGATGATGCCATGTGCTATCTTTCCCCTGAGAAGGAGGAGGCTTTGAGGGAGCAAGTGAAGAACACCAATATCTCTCTGACTCCTGAGGATTTGGAAACCAAGATGACTCAGGTCTTTTCGATCATTATGAAGGAAGGTGTCCTCGCTGCTGGTTCTCTCTGGCAGGAGATCGTCTACTACTTCACTGAGCTTGGTCTTCATCCCAGCTACTTCAAGCATTTTACCAGTGCTGAGATCGCCAGGCATATCCATTGCCTTATCGCTGCTAAGAAGGTCGCTCAGGCTACCAAGTCTGACTATATCCACTTCGAGATTGAGGAAGCGGATTCGGCTTTCTATCTCACCACTATGGAGCCTGAGAAGATTGCCATCACTGATGCTAAGGTTGCTGAGTATATCAATACTGCTAAGGACTGTGGTTACACTATCACCTTCCTAAAGTCTGAGAAGGCTCCCATGGCCGAAGGGAAATTCCCTCTCGGCGTCTTTGTTGTCGACAAGCAACAGTTCGAGTCGGGTGTTAAGTTCGAGAACATGATGGATAAGAGCGACCTTCAGCTCGTTGCCACTCCGAAAGTTCCTTGAAGAGAGGTC